TTTAAAACACCACCATCACGAAACTAATTTTGTTTCTCTATAAACATCGTTTCTAATGCACAAAAAATCTTAAGTTTTGTCTGTGAAGTTGGCAGCTGTTCGAAATCTCTCATAAGGGAAATAGGGGGGAAGTTTCGAGTAGTAATACCCGTGGAGAAACAAGTAGGATGTAGCGAAGTATGACGAATTGGTATCCTTAACTCTATTTCGTACAAATAAAGCTCTGAGTGCTCTTAAAGCTGTTATTAGATGTGAAAATTTTATTTTTTGAAAGCCTACGTCTACGTTTACGTTTGCAGTAAAAGATGTAACAAGAAATTTGTCGCTAAGGAAATAATAAAACACGATACTTCCTTACCTTAGTACCTACTTTACCCTAAAAGCATAATAAATGTATATTGTTAGATACTTATAGATTTGAAGAAATCTATGATAAATCTTCTTAATAATGTAAATGCGAATGTTTAGATGTTTGATTGAAGGTATCTTCGGCACAGCTGCATCGATCTTGCTGAAATTTGGCATAGATGTAGTACTTAGTCTGGTAGAACACAAAGGCTATGAATTAGAATTTTTTAATTCTGCGCCGACGTAGTTGCGGGTGACAGCTAGTCTAGAATATTTATAGACTAATAATATTCTCAGTGCAACACGACCAGACTTAAAAATAGAAATTACTGACAAATGTTGAAGCATTTACGAGCTTTAATACGTTTTGATTTTTTTTAATTTGAGGGAAATTAAGTGGGCGGATAGTTTGCGGCAAGCATTCATTTGAACGTCGGCAGATCCAAATTGGGAATGCTTTTATTTTAACTTTTTTTAAGATGATACTTCGTTTTGATAGTAAGTAAATGTAACTAGCATGTAGCGCTTATGTTTTCAGTGATTCGTTCATTTCATAAAGTATTCGATAAGTATATAAATATTTAATTTCTGTTCTAGATGGATGGATAATAGGAAGTATAGAGTTTTCTTTTTACGTTTAAATATAATTAAATTAAATTCTTATACTTTTTATATCATTTTTATTAAATAAAGAGTACGCAATAATTTTAACAAGTCTATGGCTGCACAGATTCAATTTAATATCGCATCGAACAGAATAGAATCTAATTAATTTCAATTCCATTATAATAAAGCTGTATTATAAATAAGGTATGCAAAATTTGAGTAATACATTTATGTATTCAATTAGATATAAAAGAAAATTTTATAATTAATTATTTGAAAAAATTATAAAGTTGAAGACCGCTTGTCAGTATAATGCAGATTAATTATTGTCTCTGAATGTAAGTGGAGAACTTATAAATAACTTGCTGTAGCACGCGACTCTGTCCGCACTAACTAAAAAAAACATAATTAGTGGCCTATGTTTTCTTCCAGACTTTTTTATATATGTATGCCAAATTTCATCGAGATCCGTTCAACCGTTCTGGAGATACATTTAAACATCAACCCACACATCCATTCGAAAACACTCGCATTTATAATATTAGTAAAATTATAAAATTAGTAACATTATATTGGCAATACTACACTAGGTTCTTTTTCGCCTAAGAATATTTTAAAATATCATGGTATATTAGTCTAAAATTCATGAAAGGGATATTAACAATTATAGTAGGTAATATATAAATTCTTGTCTTTTTGTCTGCCAAACTAAGATAATATGCTACTGTTGCTGGTATGGATTCGGCAGTGTAAAGACATTGTTAGACGGATCTTAGTTATGTTGCATTTGCTATATGTCCATGCATAGCACTGAACCGGTCCTTGCTTCCTCATCAATACAGTTACATTGTACTGTTAGTTAATGCCATTGAACTTTATTTTTTTCTATTATAAAAACAAAAAACGTTATTTAAAACATTGGAAATGTTAATTATAATAATTAAAGATGAAATAATATATTAAATTAGCTGTCGTCCGCGATTCCGTCCGCGCGAAAGTAAAAAAAAAACTTAATTTGTAGCCTGTACATAGCCTATATGCTCTTCCAGTCTGTGTTCTACATCTATGCCAAATTTAAGTGAGATCTATGCAATCAGCCTGTCTGGAGATACCTTCTAACTAACAAACATCCATCCACCAAAAAAATCGCTTTTATAATATTAGTAAGGTAAGATTGTATAACATTTGGAGATAACATGAACCTCATCTGTTGTATTCGAGGTAGCCATCCAATAGCTTTATTGAGTCAAATCCTCATATAACCCTGTTTCTCAGTAGGATGGTGTTCAACATTATGTCACAATTTAAAAGAAGAAGCAAATTGTGAGCTTTCAAATTAATAAACATAAAAAATTCGTGTACTTAAATATTTATGCACTTTTTAATTTATGCTACCGATAACACTGCGGTCTTTGACATGACATGCAATTTAACCTACTAAAGATATAAACAATGATTACAAGCCGGCTTATCATTTTACTGTAATTTAAGCAATATAGTATAATAGTAATTGATTTTTTATTGTTTATACTTGTTTGATCACGTTACTAAACATTTTTAACCTTTTTTTTATTAACAACTAGCGCTCATCTGCGAATCCGTCCGAGCGGAATTAAAAAACTTAACTAGTAGCCTATGTGCTCTTCTAGACTATGTTCTACATCTGTGTCAAATTTCATCGAGATCCCTTGAGCCGTTTCTTCAATACTTTCTAATAAACATCCATCCATCAATCTAAACATTCGCAATAACAAAAATGTAAGATTACATTTATAATATTAGTAAGATTACTATGTCTAGTTTTTTTTTTAATTTAGTGTGTTTTCTAAACATGTAAATACTTAATCATTACAAATATAAGGACTGATTAGGAAATGCCTATGTATATTTAAAACAGCGCTTTATTATCGTATATAATTTACTACGTCCCTTTTACGAAACCGGATCCTGATAAGAAATGCTTAGTATTCACCATCAATCTTATCGGCAATCGTAGCAGGCTAGCGTTTACGATTCGCCAACCGATAATATGTTACGCCAATTACGTTACCTACGACACAATTTTACTATATTACTATTCTATATATTAAATACATACAGAGTTACTTTCGTATTTATAAAATGTAGCAGTAAGAATTCTTTATTTCTGCAAATGACTACACATCCCCTTGCTATAGTTTTATATTAAGAAAAGGATTGGAAGGAGATATGTTCGATGGAGAAAAGATAAACAGGAAATGTCCTTTATCAGTTTACTTTCTCCTAAACCTTGTCTATCTGTCTAAAGGTTGCGGGCACTTAGCACGTGACCAAATATATATATGACGAAGGCTCTAAAGATATAAAACAACACATTTTCGGATCGGATACTTTGGCATGTCTGAATTGGTCTTCTTATTGATTTATTACTGGAAATAACTAATAATATCGTACTTATTACATGATGGTTCGTAACATCCTTAACCTTGGAAATATACAGAGTTAATACGTCGATATTTCATCTAAGAGGCTTTAAAACACCCACGCTTGCCAGTTTATTGTGCCTTGCCAGACAGTGACGCATTGCCGACGAATGTTATTTTAATTCAATGGGAAATGCCAAAAGCGGATTCAATCAATACCTATTGAAAGAATAGCAGAAATAAAATCACACATAAAATTAGTACATTACTTTTATAAAATAACCAATATATAGCAAAAAGGTAGCCCACTCTGCGTATGCTTCGTGAATTTATCTTGATGTTGTTTTCGAGTCGAGATAGGAACATAGCAGGACTTAGAATGAGATTTATAAAACTACTTTGAAACAAACTTAATTTACGATTTGTCTTTTAACGATTTTTGGTTATAATATAATTTAAAACATTTGTGTAATTTGTCAAATTCAGTATTGGCTTTACGCTTTGTTAGTCAAGTTATTTATGTATTCATTGAAAATAATGTCTGACGTAATACATCGAGCTTTATGTTTATAAATGGAAGTAAAAATCAATTATTGAAACTATATAGTGACATCGTTAAAACATAAGTTCACCTAGAACATCGAAGTGCAATTAATTATTCAAGCATTAACTAAAATAGAAATTGTATTATTGAACTTTACGCTTATAAAAGTATTTGAAGCGTTTACGTTTACAGCATTTACATTTTACTAATATAATAAATGCAAAATGGCTCAATGGATCTCGCTGAAATTTGGCATACATGTAGAAAATATATAGTCTGGAAGAACACATAGGCTAATAATTCAGTTTTTTTAACTTCCCACGAACATAGCTGCGAGCAACAGCTAGTTTAAACAATAAAAGCCGAAATTGTGCTCAAGCTATTAAATGCATATTCTGCTCGGTTGGTCTCTTTACGACCAGTATTCACAAAGAACAGTATATCAGTCTCTCGAGTAAAAAAATAGAAATTATCCATCCGTTATATGCTTGTTCTTTGTACGCCTCTAATGCGGCGCAAGACCTCGGAGACTCACAAATAAACGAGTAGATGGGGGCATTAATCTTCATTTACCGGGAACACGAGAAAATGAAATAAATAAATCGTTTTCTTTTGTTATTAATCTATTGTAGTCGACATATAGAAAAGGCTATTACGAAACGTTTAATTGTAAGTTGTTTGATGTTTCAGATTTATAATATAAACTGGCGTTTAACTACTTGTTTTAACAAAGTGATGTAGAACACTATTTAAGTATGTTCAATATTTTATATCTTGTTTATATTGAATAGGCTCTGAAAGGACTGATCTTATTTGGAGAAATTTTTTCACTGCTTGGAAGCAACACTATCCCGAGGCGGCACAGGCTATTATTTTTACTTGATTTTTAAATTCCGCGCGCACCACGTTGCGGGCCACTGCCAGTAAGCCTATATAGTAATAAACTAACGGCCATAAGATTAGTTAATACAATGAGTTTTTTATGGATCATTATAGCTATGTAAAAATGGATGGACTAAGATATATTTTATAAGGTGTTTGAAGGATTATATGTCTTTTTTACTTGTATATTTCATAAAATATTTGTTTTCCTCCCTTAGGAGCACCATCTCCAGAGGGCGATATCAGGCACGGGGCTCATAATTCCAACACCGGAGGTGTGCGAGGTCAGCGACCTCGAGTTCTACGAGAGATGTTACCCAGCCGACTACAAAATGCCCAAGCAGCACATACACATGCAGCGTAAGTACATTATTAAGGGCCAAATTCATTTTTTGATCGCGAAATATTTTAGCTAATCTAAATAGAAAAATACGATCGATTGTTTAGACAGCGATTGAATAGTTTTTATACTCGGCTTTATACATAATAATTTTAGAATGGATCTTAATACAGAGCTCTATGCTCTTTATTACGTTAATGATGTGAAACTATGACGAAATACAGGTCAAGAACCAATGAACTACATTAAAATTTAAGTTGTACGTCAATCATTAATAAGAGTGCGTGTCGTTAAGAAGAAATTATTTTCTACTTCCAAACTCTTGTATTATGCAACATGTGTCTTGTTTTTTTTTCATAGAGATTAGGGGATGTTAATATTTTTTTATACAAGTGTTCGACCGTGGAAACCGACATTAAATTTATCCCCTCGTTACTCATATCCTACTGTCATTGCCGTATGCAAAAATGACGAAAAGATTTTTAATAATAATTTGATTATGATGACTATGTTATTAAATTAATTCTCGGTACTCAAAAACCACACTCAATGGACTAATGTTCGTTTCATGATAAAATTTAATGTTTCTATATTTTGGGGCAATGCGATGTTAATTAAAATTATAATGGAATAACGATCGATTACAAGTACATAGCAGCTTTAAATAATAATTTTATATAACATTTTACTTTAGTTACGCAATAATATAGGATTAAATTTACCTTAAAAGTGTATGGCTATTGAGTCAAATCTCAATTTTTTATGGCTGGATATCCCGTCATCCATATGTATGAAATAAAAAAAGTAATAAGTTATATTATTCTACATATAATTGGAAATACATTTCTTATGCGGTTGTGTTGTATCGTCTGATAATGCTAATATTATGTAATATTCTTGGTATCGTGCATAATCATATAAATTTACATGCAATTTGTTTCTCTTCGAAATTCAAAATTGCATATGTCTTGTTTTCATACGCTAATTTAACCTTCTAGTAACCAATTGGATTGCTATCTCTCTTAATATTATATTTTAAAAAGTCTAGTTAAAGAAAAGTGGATGGAACGGTGGAGTTTCCACTGTCGTAACACCTGTTCACAATTATTCTCTCTCATTTTCTGCAAAAGAAAAAGAGAAAAATATGTTTTTATGCAAGTGTTAAAGAGAGTTTCTCCATCTCAAAGGCCGGCAACGCATCTGCGGTTCCTAAGGTATTGCTGATGTCCATGGGCGTCGTTGAAAACCTCGGTGTTCCCGCTGCACGTTTGCCCCCTTCTGTTATAAAAAAATAAATAAAAAGTTTAAATTCACGATATAAAGCTATATTGAATTTAAAGCTTAATTAAACTCGGGCTTATTATTTCTGAATAATCTTGCTCCGGCAATGTAATTAATCCCCCGATTGTGCGCCGTTGTAACGTAATTAACCGTTTCGCGACATTATTCGATGTATTCGTGCGAACAAACGCAGGCAATATTGCGAAGTTATGTTTATCATGTTAGTTATAGGTGCCTATCAAATTCATATGGTCAATTCATATCGAATTCAAAATAGCTTTAACTAAATTCTAAGCGCGCTTTTAATACTGGTTAAGTTTTACTAGTGTGTACTCTACCTTATAAATTTAGGTTAATGTGTGAAAGAATATTTCATCTGGCTATTTATCTTATTAATATTATGAATGCGGATATTTGGATGTATGGATGGATGTTTGTTTGAAAGTATCTCTAGAACAGTTTAACGGATATCGATGTTTGGCACATAGTCTTGAAGACACATAGGCTATTAATTTTTTTTTTCAATTTCGTGCCGACGAAGTAGTGGGCGAATGATAGTAAGTGTTCGTTATGTCCATTCTATAACTATTAATATATTTGAATATATTTGAAAGTAAGATATCAAAGTTCGAATGAGTGACGGAAAATTCAGTTGGCCCTTTTATTATTTAAGACACTAATTTAACAAATAAATATATAAAAGAGGCATCATAAATAAAAGAAACTATTGAGATTTCTGTGGGAAAATAAATGTCTTTTGCAAGAATATTTTATATTCATAGCTTTTCAAGGAACGTCAAGTGAACGTCGAATTGATATTTATATCCTCTTCAATACAGAAGCCTGTCGATATATTGCTATATTTGTAACAAAGTATTTGAAAAGCATTTCTTACGACGATAATTGAAAAGGCTTTTGTTATCTTAACCCAATTGGAGAAAACGTAATTGATAAAAGCACTATTTCTCTAGAGGCTACTGTTACTGTTTTAAAATATCTTGGCGACCCAAGGTTATCGGCGGACTGCGCAATACTTCTGTATCTCTCTACGCCCTGCTACACCTTAAATTGAGTTCTGCGTAGAGAATCGCGCTAAATTAAGAGCCGTCGAAATATTTGTTAGCTATAATACTTATTGTTAATTTTTACACTTATACTTTTAATAATATATTATTATATTAATGATTTTTAAATTATTAATAATATATTAATGTTGTATTTTATCTTTTATATAAAATTCTCGTGTCACAATTTTCGTTCCCATACTCCTCCGAAACGGCTTGACCGATTCTCATGAAATTTTGTGAGCATATTGAGTAGGTCTGAGACTCGGCCAACATCTATTTTTAATCCCGCGCAGACGGAGTCGCGGGCGACAGCTAGTTTTATCTGAAAATGTTAAATTGTTGTTGTTTTGTTCACATTTCTATTTGTACTGTAATCTTAGTTCTGTTTTATATTTTGTTAATGTCTACGTATCTTGCCAGTTCTAAAGCCGTTGTTCAATGTTACGCAATAATTTATTTCCTTATCTTGCCGTCTCGTTTTTAATACAATAACAACGACATATATACGGTGGAAATAATGACTGTGTGACTGTCTTCTTGTCCTTGAATGAACGCATGCACGAAGTGAACTACAAATATTTATTTGTCGATTAGAGCATGATGCGATACCGATAGTCGTGAATTACTTCGACCTCCAAATTCCTCTGTTTTATACCCTTAGTTTTTTTTAATTTATCCGGTTTTTTTATAAAATTTATTAATTAAAATTGGTTCTAATCTATTATGGAAAAATATCATAATGAATAAATTATATAATTTTATATTTCCTAGACATGATTTTGTCTGTCTGTTCGTAAGCGTTTGTTCCGGGTAATCTAAGAAATGGGTTACGCCGATTTTGATGGGACTTTTATTGAAAGGCAGCTTATTTGTGCGCAAGTAACTTAGGCTATTTTTTTCTTTTAAAATTCGCCCTCACCAAGTGGTGGCACCCGCTAGTATTTGATTGAAAATACACTTATACTAAAGTCTTTGAAATCCCTGTTATATTTTATTTTTGCATTTATGTTTTATATACTAAACTGTATACTCGTACTATGTTTAGCATTACTGAAATATTTGTTTCAATACAACGGACCGTGTTGCAATATAAATTCGCATCCAGCCGACCCATATCGGTTATTTGTTTGTTCAGGCGTAATTCCCTCCATAAATATGATTAGTTTATTGTGCTTTGTACCCACGCCATTGCAAATATCTCTTTCACAGCGAAATATTCAATATTGTCAATTATAAAGAACTGGTTTTGTCATTTTTAAATCGTGTTATTTTTGACTAAAAATGCTCCAACTTCGCTCTGATATTACGCCATTTTAATTATTAGTACGAACACTTCACTTTACGGTGTAGTGGCACAACACTAGCCTTACTAAAATGTAGACGTTTATATCCCCACAATCAGTCTGACACTGGACTTTGTAACGAAAGCAAATCATTCGCGCCAAAGGATTCTATTACGGTCTAAAACTAGATACATGCCTAACATTATACATTAGCATTGGTTAAAGAGTTTTTAAAAACCACTTCAATACTTGAACGTAAATAAAATTATCAGGAACTACAAGTCTACGTCTACTACGAATCTTTGCTATAGATTTCATCTGGTACATATGTGATAATTGCGTGGCTACGCCCTTATGGTCCTGCTGGCGATGAAAATTTCTGCTCTGCATTGTGAAATATAGACCGATGATAATAAGACCGACATTTCATGCATAAGCTAGATTCATTTGTTGAATCCACTGACCGATATATTGTTTAGAGAAAACTTTTCTATTGCCAAGCTAATAGCGAGAGTGTTTTGTTTTAGAACTATATGAAATAATATATATATAGTTGAAAAACAAAAGCTTACATTATGTAGTGTGTTGTTATGGTTGTTATTGTTATATGTTTTCGGTGTACCAAATATTTTTGATAGAAATAAGAATAAATCATTTTCTAGAGAGCTGTTTTGGTATATATTTTTATAGAATGTATTAAATAAAATTCGCGATAATTAAATAAGCTTACAACCCTTTAGGACGGTTTTACGTAACAATCGGTAAAAGATATAGCTTTTTTATACGTAACTTATAATTCAAAGTTAGGTAGCCAGACAGGGATTAATAGGGATGAGATTCGAGGTGAAGGACGACCCCTATTTCGGTGCGTTCAATCCGATAAGTTGTTTCAAATAAATTGCAAATTTATCCTAAGGGTAGGATTTAAACCTGATAAATGTTTGAGCTTGATTGCCTGACTTTAATTTGGTTGTATTTCAACGTGATGTTTTTTAATTACAATTAGAGAAGGGTATAACAGTTTTAGACTATTCTTCTTCTTCGTCGTTACAGTATTTTCAGACTGGTCGTGGTCATCAATCGTGGTGATCGTGGTATCAGTGACCCGCTTTACGAGGCGCCGCCACTCCTCCCTAGTCTTTGACACTATACGAGGTTAATAAATGTGTTCGTGTATTTGGTGATTGGTAATGCTATTACTAACTAATGTTTTTATATTGAAAAGGTTTGTGACTAATTACTCTATCTAATCGTGCAACGTACATTTTATTTTCTATTATATGTATAGCGGCTTACGTCGAGTTTATAGAATTGTAACGTTCTTACAGCGACCTCGTGGGTCAGGACATACTGTCCCAGTTAATCACTCTGACATTGCCCACTGATGCA